CACTTGACTAATAACTCTATCACTCATGAACAGAGGGAAAAAAAAAAGACTAACAACAAATCGCACTAAGCAACAATAAAGCGAACTTACTTGCTGGCTGATCTAGCCAAAAGGCCGAGAAGCGATGCCGAAGCATGCGGAGGAAGCTGGGGATCGGTTTCGAAATCCTGACGCGGTAATGACGGAGACCATTATAAATATTTGGGGCCAACGAATGCTTGCCCCGACGGTAGTGAAGAACTTCGCAATACGGCGAAAGGCGCTTTATTATGGCCAGATCGGACAGCTCGAAGGGAGCATCGTAAATCGTGAGGAAGGTCAACCGTTTGTCGACGTCCTGCAGAGCAAAATGCTCGGCATCTACCCGGAGCGAGTTGAGGCGTAGAAACTTCTCTTTTGCCGAAATAGACTTAAAGGTGACAGTGACCTCTCCGTTCATCTTTCTCTGTAGACATGCAATTTCCGCCGGGTCAATTTTGGCATGCTCCAGGGCTTTGAACACCGACTTCGCCGATGTATTTTTACTTGGCATAAAAAACACTGTTCGCGGCCGCTGGGGCATCACATTTTCCGAGTATCGAGCTCTTCCCTGTCGTGGTGGGTACTCATACGACGCAGTTCTCGCCGCTCGTGAGGCGTACGAGTCACCATTTACAACGTGGTGTTCTTCAATATTTTCAATATCATCTGTACTCACGGGCACCTCATTATTCAAATCAGTCTCAGGCATCTCATTATCCAAATCAGTCGCAGGCATCTCATTAACAATCGTACCAGGCGTTCCACTATTTCCAACATCCATATCTTGACAAATAACTTTATCACTCATGAAGAGAAAAAAAGACTAACACAATATCGCACTAGGCACAAATAAAAATACACTTACTTGTGTACCTGACTTAGCCAAAAGGCCGAGAAGCGATGCCGAAGCATGCCCTGGGTGAGGGGGGTGGTCGAGGGATCCTTCCCACGGTTTATGGTGGATAGTAGCAGGTCGCCCCCACAAGCCCTTGCGAGTCCCGCAGACGGTCCCAGAGGCTGACCTGTTTGGTATCTCCTCACTGTAAGATTTTGCAGGTTGTTTTCGTTGAGCTGGAGTTAGTGAATACGGTGTTTCTTCAGTTGAAGTCGACAGGAACAGTTCGGCAGAATCAGTAGGTTCGTTTGAAAAGGTATCGTCGCTTTCAGGGGCGTCCATGAATTCATCTTGTGTGTCGGAGTTGTTGTTGTTCTCTGCGTCGGGTTGTCCTGTAAGTAGTCCATCGCATTCTTCAGTCATAGGTAGTTCTTCAGGATCGTCAGTAGTGGTTTTTTCGGGAGTTTCTTCAGTCACAGATTCACTTTCAGGGTCGCTCGTTTCTCTGGTATCTCTGGCCCATGAAAATTGACATGCTTTCGCTTTGTGATCGGTGGATTTGCAAAGGTTGCACATCGGGGGTTCGGGGCAGTCAGAGGCAAGATGTCCAAGTTGTTCGCAGTTGTAACACACAATATTATGACAGGCATTGGCGTAGTGGCCGGTCTGATTACAGTGGCGACAGGTACGGGGTTGTCCTTTGTAACGCAGGTTCAGTTGTATTTTTCCAAAGCGCAGAAAATTTGGGATGGGATTCTTGATGCGCACACGATAATGCCTGACACCGTCTTGGATATGTTCGAAGCCAGGTTCACGAAAATAGCCACGGCGGTGATGAAGAACGTCACAGTATTTGGTCAAACGATTGATGATGGTAGAACGGGTAACTCGTACGGGCTATCGAAAATTTGCAGATATGTAAGTGGGCGGTCAACATCTTGAAGGGCAAACGGTTGTCCTTGAATTTGGATCACATTTTTCTTTCTTCAGAAAGAGCTCACGCTGTTTGGCGTTCCGAAAGGTCAGTTGGATCTCGCCGTTCGATTGTCACTGAATACAGGAAATTTGCTTCGGGTCTACATCAGAAAGTTTCAGTGCTTCTCACATTTTTACCGGTAGAAACATCAACATCAACAACAGATTCAAGGGACGAAAGTGCCGACGGCGCGGAATTTTTTTCACAACTTTGATCTTCACAAACTACATCTTGCACACCACTCGAGTGGGCGCTGGCCTCGGCCATCCTTTAAAAAACAATAACGAAGGGCGCCCGAAGGCTCCCGAGCTTTTCCGAAAACAAATTTGGCCAATCACCGTTCACTGATCTTAGCCAAAAGGCCAAGAAGTGATGATAAGAACAGATTTTTTTTTTTTTTTTTTTGAAAATATATAACTTTATTCACATTTTCCATTAACATTACTTCACAATCTTCGTGTTACTATATATCTCTTACCTCTAAATGTTCACTAAGTTACTACAGTATAGACTTTGTCGCTTCCTTGTCGTTACTTACTATGACTTAATTTAAACTTTGTCACTTCCGGGTAGAAGGAAATCTGGGTCACATCCGGTTTTGTTTCTGTTGATGTTGATGTTTCTAAGGTTTATTTATCACATTTGTCGTTTCGAAGGGTTCACTTTTTTTTTTTTTTCCTTTTAAACTTTGTTCTTCCAAATTTTGTTTCAAAAAAGGATTTCAAGTTTCTTTTCCAGAGTTTACTAATATTGGGATGTATCCAAGTCTCGTTGAACATTTTATTGGGGAGTCTCATATGATCAGCTCGCAAGCGGAGGGATATTTCATTTCGGACATATCTGACAATGGCCCGCTCATCGTCGGTGCCATTGTGAAAAGTTGTTTTGTTACGAAAAAACCATATACTATACAATATCGTCTTAACTATGAAGCGAGCTAATCTATCGGATTTAGCATTAATGGAGGTCCACAAATAAAAGAAAACAGTCTTGACATTAGCGGAAAAAGGTGAACTCATGAGAGCTGAAAGGGTGGGGCTGAAAACAGACCACACCCCTTTCGCTCTCTTACAATTAAGGAAACAGTGGTCAATCGTCTCTTTTCGATCACAATAAGCGCATTTGTCTGAATCTATATACCTCCACGAACGTAGGGAAGCTCATACTTTTATACCTTTGAGGGTAATCAACCATGCAATATCGTTCTTGTAATTCTCTGTGAAAGTTTCTCTAACTAGAGACCAGTGGTGATCACTATCTAGGGTGGGGCCGATGTAGGCCCGCCAAAAGGGGGACAAAAGAGGCGAGGCCACTGTTTGACTCAAAAACTTCAAATAAATAGCTTTAGAGGTAAACTTAAAATTTTTGTCTCTTACTCGACTGTCTAAATCGTTCAATGCGCTCAAAACTAATTGATAAAATATCGTCGGTTGTTTTGCTGTGGGGCTAGAGTTATCTCGTAAGTGAGACCATTTACTCCTCAGTTTAGCTAAACGGGTTCCCAAAAAATATTTCAGCATATAGAAAACCTTAGCATTAGGCTCTTCAATCACAGATAAAGCAAAGGAGAGCTGGAGGGCTCTCGATTTGGTTTCGAAATCTACAATGCCCAATCCGCCCTCTTTCACGGGGGCAGACAGGGTTTGTTGGCTAACTGTTTCAATTTTTGTGCCCCCAATATAGTGATAAACCAATTTCTTATATCGCAAAATCACCCACTGGGGGGTGGGCAAGAGCGTTAATCACCAGGGCTTTGCCATGAAAAGACAAAGAACGAGAACGCCACGATTTAAGAACATGGTCCACCGCATCAATACGGGAACGCCAGTTGTCAACATCTAAATCCCCAACACCAATGAACACACCCAAAACCTTGATTTTCGAAGAAGACCACTCGAGTGCGACTGGAGGGTCAGAACGACCACACCAGCCCCCCAGCCAAAGACCCTTGGATTTAGCCTGATTAAGATTGGACCCAGAGGCTCTTTCAAAGAGAGCATAGGTCTCGAAAACCGCTTTGATGGCGTCGTCCGAGGAAACAATAAGGGACGTATCATCGGCATATTGCGAAATGGGCGAGAGAGGGGGAAAGCCGGGAATGAGCAGACCAGAAATGCGGGAATTGCAGCGGATGTTGGCCGCAAGAACCTCAGATACAAGGACATACAGAAGGGGGGACAAGGGACAACCGTCTCACCCCCCGCGATAGATTGAAAAAAGCTGAGACGTAGCCATTAACATTAACACAGGATTGCACCCGATGGTAAAACAGATCCACCCAGGCGACAAAAGAAGGGCCAAAGCCCATTGCCACAAGGGTGGATCGCATGAAACCCCAGTCGACACGGTCGAAGGCCTTCTCTTGATCGAGAGAGAGAATGGCCACTGGGGTCCTCGAAGAAGACGCAAAAGAGACCACGTCCCGTAGAAGGGCCACATTCTCCCCGATAAAACGGCCAGGGACCCCGCAAGTCTGATCCTCAGCCACCAGAAGATGAATGACTTTTAGCAGCCGGCCCACAATGGCCCGGGATGCGAGCTTGTAATCCACATTCAAAAGGGTGATTGGCCGCCAATTGCGAGGATCCAACCGATCACCCTTCTTGAAAGACAGGGAAATAACACCTCTGCGCTGAGAGAGAGAGAGAGAGAACCAGAGTCAAAGCAAGAATTAAGAACAGAGACAAGGTCAGCGCCCATGACCGGCCAGAACTTAAGATAAAACTCCATGGGAAGGCCATCAAGACCAGGGGCCTTACGTCTGGCCATCCCACGGAGAGCAGACAAGACCTCATCAACAGTGAGGTGACCCTCACACAAAGAGGACTGACCGCCAGAGAGAGAAGATGACAAATTCTCTAGGAGGTCAGCCTGAACATGAGAATCAACCGAAGATGCAGAAAAAAGATCGGAATAAAAGGAAGACAAAGAGGAGCAAAGGTCAGAAGGGGATGAAACAATAGAGCCATCCCCATCTCTCAGCGCAGAGATCCATCTGTCAGAACCATGTTTCCGCTCAAGACGCAAGAAATATGCTGAGGACAACTCACCCTCCTCCACCCACTTGGCTCGAGAGCGAACCTGGGCCCCCCTGGCAGCCTGGAAGTCCATGGCGGCCAACTCAGCCAGGGCCGAGTGGTAAGGGCCAAGGCATGAGGAGGAGCCCAG